CCAAAGGGTACTCGTGGGGTCAGATCACGAAGGTCATACGCTGCTGCATTAGCGTTCTCTACCCCAAATACAGCTCGGACTCAAATACAGCTTCAAAACAGATATGAAGTTTTGAATAATATGGGTGAAGAATCCCCAAATGCAGTTAGACAGAGATCGCATGACTCAGCAATTAACTTTGCTCTGAACAGAGGCTCAAGGCCGACTAGACAGCGGCATTCTGCTCCGATCGCAACAGAGATAAGAACATTGATTGTTGGAGACTCAATAATCAAAAATTTTAGGAGCAGAGATACCATGACATACTGCTTTCCTCATGCTACAGTTTCTGATATAAATAAAGAACTTGAGAACATATTAAGGAAACATGAGACTGCAAAACGGATTATCATCCATGTGGGGAAGAATGATATTCGGAAGGAACAGTCAGAACTGCTCAAGAGAGATTTCTGTGAGCTTTTGGAAACAGTTGAAAGATTGAAAATTCAGCCGTTCATCAGTGGACCACTCCCTGCAAGAGGGACAAATATGTTTTCAAGGCTCCTTGGTCTAAATGCATGGCTGCAGAAAACATGTAACATGAAAAGACTGAATTTCATCGACAACTTCAATCTCTTCTGGAACCAAAGACAGCTGTTTACATCAGACGGCCTTCATCCAAACAAGCTTGGTGCAAAAGTGCTGAAAGACAACATCCTCTTCTCCCTCCATCATCCATCAGCTGTGTATGCCACTGAACTGAATGACACACACACACCTAGCACATGTCCGGATGACCACAGGACTTCAAATCAGCTCCTGAGTGGACTTGTGGCTGACGCATCCTACAAGGACAGAGATAACACCACGCAGCCACAACAACCGCCGATAACGGACAAACTGCCGTCTGCGCCCTGCACACTGAGCTCAACACAGGCAGACTGTGACGCATCAGAACAGCATCAAGTCTCAGCACTCATTGATGATCCCCAGGAAAACAGCCAGGTAAACATATCTCAGCAGCCAGAAACCCCAGACCCACAGCCTCTGTCACCGGACACGTTCTCATTGTCATCTTGCTCGCCACTCTTGGATTTTTCAAAAAAGATGGAGGAACTGGTGTGTGCTGGAACTAAACTCTCACACTCCATTGCTGCTAGCCCCCAGTTAGCAACCAAAAGTCAGCAAGCCACACGCCCATCTCTAAGCCCACCTCGCCCTACACCTAGGAAAGGCCTCAGGTCTTTGCGACAGCGCCAGGTCCCAAAAAACACCTCATCTTTAGCTGGTGAACTTAAAAACTGCCATTGATGTGTGTCGGGGGCCTGCTTAGATAACAGTGAATTTATCAGATGTTTACAGAACAAGCAGGAACCCAGTGTGTCTGTAGCTTTCTCTACGCAAATATGTGTCTTACTACGTGACAGAAAACCAAAGACTCTTTCAGACCGTTTAGCAAATCATTCAAATCTGGTGTCTATTAAATGTATATCTGAGACTTCTGTAGTGAAAACGACTAAAACTGTTAAGTTAGCGCTTTTAAACATCAGATCGCTCAACAATAAGTCTCTTTTAGTCAATGATTTTATCAACACAAATTGCCTTGATTTTATGCTTTTAAATGAAACTTGGCTTTATGACAGTTGTAGCGCAGCAGTTCTGAATGAAGCAGCTCCTTTAAACTTTGACTTTTTGAGTGTTTGCAGAGTTAATAGGAGAGGTGGAGGCATCGCTGCCCTGTTTAAGGATGTGTATGAATGTAAACAAGTGTCATTTGGCGACTATTTGTCCTTTGAATATCTGGGTATAGCACTAAAAGGTGCTCCACGCATCTTACTGATCATTATCTACAGACCTCCAAAATATTCTCCAGCTTTTATTGAGGATTTTACAGAGCTGTTATCAATAGTAACATCTGAATATGATTATTTTAGTATTGCTGGGGATTTTAATATTCACATTGATAATCCAGAAATCAATGCTGTAAAAGAACTGATGACTGTTTTTAACACTTTTGATCTGACTCAGCATGTTCAAGGACCCACACACAATCGTGGACACACTCTTGATCTACTTATAACTAAGGGTTTACACATTTCATCGACTGTTGTTAAGGATGTGGCACTATCTGATCATTTCTGTATCTTCTTTGATATATTGATCACTCCAGCTATTAAAGACAGATCTGTCTCTGTCAAAAAGAGATGCATAAATGAGAACACTAGTGAGCAGTTTATGAAGGCCATATCGCTAGCACCAAGTATATCTGCAGATTCTGTTGATTCTCTCCTTAATTTGTTCAATTCTACAATTGAGAATGTCATAAATGACATCGCTCCTGTTAAAGTTAGGAAGAGAACTGGCAAAGAGAGAGTCCCTTGGAGAAACTCAAGAGCAGTCCAAATGAAGAAAAGACAATGCAGGAAAGCTGAGCGTATGTGGAGAAAGACGAAACTAGTAGTCCATTATAATATCTATAAAGACAGTCTTCAGGCTTTTAATGTGGAACTAAAAACTGCTAGACAGACTTTCTTTTCAAACCTTATAAACAACAATGTAAATAATGCTTGCACACTCTTTGCAACAGTAGAGAGGCTCACAAACCCCCCCAGTCGGATTCCCAGTGAGCTCCTCTCTGAAAGTAAATGTAATGAATTTGCTAATTTCTTTACTGATAAGATCAATAATATCAGAAAGGCAATCAGCTCATCCAATCAGTCAAGTTGTGTCGATATCAAACTAGCTCAACCACAACTTGAGAAGTCAGACATTATGTCTGATTTCATGGCAATTAACGGCAAAATCTTAGAAGAGATGGTGCAAATTATAAAAACATCAACCTGCAGTCTTGACACGCTCCCCACATCATTCTTCAAAACGGTGTCTACCTGTTTAGAAATGGATCTTCTAAAAGTGGTAAATGCTTCACTTCTCTCAGGGATTTTTCCAACCTTACTTAAAACTGCAGTTGTTAAACCCCTCTTGAAGAAGAGCAACCTGGATAACACCCTATTGAGCAATTACAGACCAATCTCAAATCTCCCTTTCATTGGCAAAATCATTGAAAAAGTTGTTTTCAACCAGGTTAACAAGTTCTTAAACTTCAAGGGGTGTTTAGACAATTTTCAATCTGGTTTCAGAGCACATCACAGTACAGAGAGCGCTCTTATAAAGATAATCAATGATATACGCCTAAATACAGATTCAGGTAAAATAACAGTGCTGGTATTGTTGGATCTCAGTGCTGCATTTGACACTGTCGATCACAGCATACTTCTGGATAGGCTGGAAAACTGGGTTGGGCTGTCTGGGACAGTCCTCAAATGGTTCAGATCTTACCTTGAAGGGAGAGGTTACTATGTTAGTATAGGTGACCATAGGTCAAGGTGGACACCCATGACGTGTGGAGTCCCACAAGGCTCGATTCTGGCACCTCTCCTGTTCAACCTTTACATGCTCCCCCTGAGCCAAAAAATGAGAAAGAACCAAATCTCCTACCACAGCTATGCTGATGACACTCAGATCTACCTAGCCTTACTGCCTAATGACTACAGCCCCATTGACACCCTCTGCCAATGCATTGATGAAATTAAAAATTGGATGTGCCAAAATTTTCTTCAGTTAAACAAAGAGAAAACTGAAGTCATTGCGTTTGGGAACAAAGATGAGGTTCTCAAGGTGAATGCGTACCTTGGCTCTAAAGGTCAAACGACAAAAAATAAGGTCAAGAATCTTGGTGTGACTCTGGAGTCAGATCTGAGTTTCAACAGTCATGTCAAAGCAGTCAGTAAATCAGCATACTATCATCTCAAAAACATAGCAAGAATCAGATGTTTTGTTTCTAGTGAAGATTTAGAGAAACTTGTTCATGCTTTTATCAGCAGCAGGGTGGATTACTGTAATGGACTCCTCACTGGCCTTCCCAAAAAGACAGTCAGACAGTTGCAGCTCATCCAGAATGCTGCAGCCAGAATTCTGACCAGAAGCAGGAAATCAGAGCACATCACACCCGTCCTCAGGTCTTTACACTGGCTGCCAGTTACATTCAGAATAGATTTTAAAGTATTATTACTGGTCTATAAATCACTAAATGGCCAAGGACCTCAATACATTACAGATATGCTCACTGAATACAAACCTAACAGATCACTCAGATCTTTAGGATCATATAAACTAGAAGTTCCAAGAGTTCAGTCAAAGCAGGGTGAATCGGCTTTTAGCCACTATGCCCCCCGCTGCTGGAATCAGCTTCCAGAAATGATCAGATGTGCTCCAACATTAGGCACATTCAAATCAAGACTAAAAACACATCTGTTTAGCTGTGCCTTTACTGAATGAGCACTGTGCTGCGTCCGACAGATCGCAATATTATGTTTTTCGTTTTCTTTTTCATTCTTTTATAACCTATTAACTCATTTTAATTTGTTTTTATCTGTTTTTAATAATTTTTATTGTCTGCATTTTATGTTCCTAAACTTGTCTTTTGTATTCCTGTTTATGTAAAGCACTTTGAATTGCCACTGTGTATGAAATGTGCTATATAAATAAACTTGCCTTGCCTAAAAGGGGTTAATAATATTTTTAAGTTTCATTTTAAGTTTAAAAACTGCTTTTTTTCAAGTCAAACTTAAAAGAAACTTAAAGACCCTATCATGAAAATAATAAAATGTAATCACAAAATACTGTGATCATTCACTTGCTCAGTTCATAATCACTCGGAAAATATTTAAAAATACATTTTAATTTAACAGGAGAAAAATGTAATTCAATTAAAAATCTAAATCAAATAAGATCCAAACATAAACTTGTATGTTATATTTCTAATTTGATTATATATTTTGTGCAATGTCCATATGGGAAACCTAAAAAACAAAGTGTGTAGACTCGTGCTGTCAGGTGTTTGGGCTTAGTTTCTTCACCCCAACAGATCACATGACATTTACATGCTATTTAGCGTAGCCTACTCAACCCATAATGTGTAAAGACTGCATTGAAATTTTTAGATAACTGACAGCAAGAGGTGTTTTACATATTTTTATTACACCATACCACAGGTTCACAGAAAACTCAGCAACATTATCATGAATAACAAGTAATATCTATATATAAAAAAAGTCTGAAAGCCAACCAGGCCTGCATTTCCAGATCAATTATTGAGCATTAATGTAACAGCTGACAAAATGTGAAACTCTTTTCCATATAATCAGATGCGTTTTCAGTGCTAACTGGACTAAAATGTGTAATACCTTTGAGCATCATGATGATAATAATATTCACTGATCTTAACAGCACTATTTTGTACATTTTCCTCCACTGTCAATGATAGAGTGCAATATTGAAGTTCTACCAGTTTTAATTCCATTCATTTTCTCCATAGGGAAACTGATTTCTAGCAATAATTTATAAACCTTTTAAGACAGACCTGTTGTGAGCTCTGAGGTTGTTCGCTGACTGTATGTGCTTTAGCTGAACCCATCTGTTCACATTAATTAATACATAATTCATCTGTAAAACGATCATGGTCTATAGCAGAACTGGCAATACCTGGCAGAAAAACTACAATACCTATAATGCTGTACAAAAAAAGTTCCACCAATCAGAGTTGCAGCGAACAAAGTGAAGCAAAGCAAATATATCTTCGCCCACATCAACAAACTTGAAATATATAGTTGCTATAAATACAACCAAATTCAAATCAATAGTTTTCTCCTTCAAATCAATAGTTTTCTATTAATTTTCAGTTGGATTGTATAATTTGCTGTGCTTCGCATATTTGCAGTTCTTTCCTTTGTTAATTCATAGTATTCAATCTAGGATTTTTGTACGCTTCGCTTCTAATTGAAGTGCTTATTGTTGTGCAACGATTCATCTAGCAGATTGCTGGTTTGGTTAAAGTGAAAGTTCACCCAAAACTGAAAATTCTGTCGTCCTTTATTCTCCCTTCACTTCTTCCACATCTGTTTATAAGAAGATATTTTGAAAAAAGCTGGTAACCATTGACTTTCATACTATCTGATTTTTCTACTATGGATGTCAAATGATGTTTTCAGCTTTCTTCAGAATATCTTCTTTTGTGTTCAGCATAAAACCAAAACTCATAAAGCTTTTAGAACTACTTGAGGGGGAGTAAATGGAGAGTAAATTGTCGTTTTTGAGTGAACTAATCACTTATAACCCTTCGACAAAGACTTTTGTTTGGGAAAAATTAATAGGACAAATACCTCCAGAACCAGCAATAAGTGAGCAACAATAAAGCCCTCTATTTAAACTGCTGGCCATCCTGTGTGGTAGATAAACTCTCTTTAACCCATCCGGTAAGTATCCGTGGGGCATCCGGGCAGCCGGAAGCTGTCGGGCACTGGACTGTCTAATTTACAGATGATCTTATAGATGGACTTCTTCCAGCATGGATCAGCATCCCGACCGCTCTGGATGGCGGTGAAAAACTCCCTCAGGGCCACTTCAGATATCTCCACAAACCTCTCTGGAACCTAGAAACAAATAGTCGTTACATACCTTGACATGTGAACCACAAAACTAGTCATAAGTGTCTATTTTTGAAAATTGAGATTGTGTGCATTATCTGTAAGCTGATGTATACTTTGTTGGCAGGGCTTGACATTAACCTTTTTGATTACCTGCCACTGTGGCTAGTAGTTTTCCAACATTACTAGCCACTCGGCATTTTCACTAGTCACAATTTTGTTGTTGGGAAAATATTTTTTATGCATAAATTTGACTTTGGCATGCTAAAATGACTTAAACTAGATTTTGTGTTATGTCCACATGTTTCCTCATTTACTACACTTTTTTTTGTAATGTGTATGACCTTGCTCAATGGGGTTTCATAGTGTTGCATTGCATTTAGTTCTTATTTTACATGACTTTTCGGGACTCAACATTAAGAATTTAGCTAATTTTTCTCTGGCTAAACCAAAAAAATTAAAAATAAACAAATTACTAATTATTTATTAGCCACAATTTTTAACTAATAAAAAAAATAAACGCAAGCTAAATAGAGCTGTATACATGCACTTTTTATTCAATAAACCTTTCTTTGTTTTTTTAATGATATTTTAAAAAGTTACTATTATCTAAAACTCTGCTAAAGGTCCCAGAACTCCAATTAACTATACATAAATGGAAAGTTAATCTCCTATTAAAGCAATGTTATCGTAGAGGATGATAATTAAATCATGAATAAAAAAAAATAACTGTAAGCAAAAGAAACCAGGTGAAAAACATACCTTGTGTGATAATAAAAGTATAATCAGGTGCACACAGTTAATTTTAGGCCAATTAATAATCTGCTCAAAGAATGGTTAAAGCGAAAGCAAGCAAAAGAATCTAAAGCTCTTGAAAGCAGCTGGACTGTGGGTGCAGGAGCATCATTTTTTGTCCAGTCCATTTCAAAGAGAACTATTCACACATTGTGTTTTTATAAGCACATTTGCTTCGCGCAAAGAAATAGCAGCATGCAAGCTTTATAAACATACGTGCACATCACAACAGCCTGCGCACGATACTAAAGCCCTCGTCAGTGAGTGAAGAAGACCTGCTTCTCACCGTGCGTGCGATCATCCTCTCATTCAGTATTGACCTACGTTCTTTTGCTTGCACAAACAGTTCATTTGTCAGCCATGCTGCTTCTAGATAAACTAAAATTTAAAAATTATTTTCAACCAGCCAAAGTGGCTAGTGGAAGCGGCTCTCTAACCCCTACAGCTAAAATATACCCTCATTTGGCGGGCTGGCAAGTGTTAATGTCAAGCTCTGATTGTTGGAATACGACAGTATTTGGTTGAGTTACAACTATTTGAAAATCAGGAATCTTAAAATAATCTAAATACTTCGAAAATGTAGTACAGAAAAATCATATTTAAGTAAAAGTACCATTACTTGCCTAAAAATGTAGTGCAAGTAGAGTAAAAGTATCTTTAAATATTACTCAATGAGTATAAAGTAGACCTTTCAAAAGTACTCAAGAGTAGTGAGTATTACGCTGTAAAATGCTGATGCATTTACATGTAATTTGTGGATATGTGTACATGTACTGTAACATTCTGTAGTGCAAATAGTTTTTGCCCAGTAGACACATGACTTCATAAGACGTTAATATTAGGTTAGGTAATGATGTCAGATAACCAAAATTCAATGTATAGCCAGCGTCAAAAGACAACGTTATTTTGATGTATAAATAACAACGCCCAATGACATTGATATTTTGTTGATTTTAGGTTGTGTTAGAAGGTGACCAAAATCCAACGTCGAGCCAACATCTTAAAACAACATCATGCTGATGTTAAATACTAGCATTTATTCATCAGGTATGGCAACTAAAATCTAATGTCTAACAGACGTCATATTAGTAACAACCCCACAGTGTCGCTGTAACATCTTAAGATGTTGATATTAGGTTGATTTTAGGTTGGACATTGACGTTGGCCTGACGTTGAGTTCTAACGTCAACCCGATTTTCATTTCCAAACAAAATGCAAAAACTCTACGACGTTGGGGTACGTCAATTTGACGTCATATTGACGTCTTGTGCCTGCTGGGTGTTTAAGGTAATTTCGGTCATCATAAGAGTAAACATCTGTCATCTTCTCATTAGCGACATGCATCTAAACAGTCTCTGGGTTAATTTTGTTGATGAAAAATTTACGCGATAAACAAGTTTCTATCGACGAATATACTAGACGAAAATAATAATTAAGTGATGACGAAAACTATAATAAAAATACCCTGACCTTTTTGTAGACTAATAAAAATGAGACGAGAATGTGATTGGGAGATGTTTTTTGGAAAATATCCAATCAGAAGTAATCTTGGTGTGTGATGCATAAGTCACACACATTTAAAAGTAACTGATCCACAGTAGACGCGGGATGTGATTTCATCATCATAAGAGTAGAGTAGATTAACTCAACTAAAATCTTATAAAATATAGTCAACTAAAACTAAAATGATTCAGAAGACTAAAATAAGACTAAAACTAAAACTAAATTTGCTTTCAATATTAACACTGCTGGGTCAATGCGTGTAAGGAATTTGTAAATCTTCTTACACACTTTTAATGATTTTAAACAGTTCGCTGCAATTATAAATCACCCATGTCTTGGGGTAGATCATTATGATGCGATTTACCTTCCAAGTGTGATTTGTTTGGACAGGAATCACAGGACTGATTTTTCTAATCCCCATACATAAAAAATAATAAAGTAGTGACTGCAGGTTGAAGGAAAGTAGTGAAGTAAAAATACCAATACAGCAGCAAAAATGTACTCAAGACAAAGTAAAAGTACACATTGTTAAAACGACTAAGTAAAATTTCTGAGAAAAACTACTCCATTACAGTAGCTTGAGTATTTGTAATTTGTTACTTTACACCACTACCTGTTCCTATAAATATACCAGTGCAACATCACACTGTTTTTGTGGTCCAGGGTCACATATGTGCACACACAAACCTGGTAATCATTGCTCTTATTGTAGTGCATGTTGAGAATGCGGTAAAGCTCGGTGTCTCTGCCCAGGCGGAGAGCCCTTTCTCTGGCAGATGTAAGCACCTCTCTGGCTGCCTGCCGGGCAAAGCGCTCCATCTGGATATAGAAGAACTCCCGGAAGTTACTGAACCACTTAATCAGCTGGGAAGTGACACAGCGATTGAACTGTGTAGCGAGAAAAAAGGAAAAGTTAGTTCGAGCTGCGTTTCATAAATAGGCTAAATTCTGAATATAGGTCAGCGACAAACATTTCGGTGTTTCGCAGACATTGTGATGTTTGATGTTTAAAACACAGAGGCAGCTTGATTATAGTCGTCTAACTTAATTAAAAATTTGATTGATATTGACTCATTATAAATGCAGGAACGTTTTCTGACTGTCGTAATTGATTCAAATCGTTTCAAAGGGAAAGCGTGCCACACTGCTGTATATAGGTCAGTGTATTCATTCAATAAGTCATTAGCCCATATAATTTGTGCAAGTTATGCTCACATGCTCTTTTGTGCCAGGGATGTGATGAATGATGCTCACCTTGACGTCAGGGAAATATGTCTTCAGCGTGCTGGAGCTGGGGTAGCGCGTGTAGAAGAACATGAGCTTGGCTTTCTTCAAGTGGCACGGAGAAAGGCCCTCCTGAGAGTGTGTATGGTTAAGGACTGTTTGATGGCTTATTATGTCACTGTTTGATCAAAATACTGAAATATCATACTGATTTAGTGCACATAAAACATTTTGACTATTAATAATGTGAAAATATAATTAATAAAAACTGCAGCTGTTCTGTATGGAGTAGTCTTTATTATGGCCAATGTGTGAACAGCTTTTGACAAATCCTAAAAAACTTCCTCAAGGTTGTCTTTGAAAGCCTGTAGACTGATATTTTGTAAAGGACTCTGGACATTTTTGGGAAGAAAATCTAATGAATAGGACTTTTATGCTTTTAAGATCCTCTCTTCCGTTCAATTGGATGAAATAAAAGCTTATATGTGACCCTGAACAACAAAACCAGTGTTTTGTAGCCAAAATGACAGATTTAAATTTAATGTAAAAAAGTAAGTGGAATAATAAGTGAAGCTTATTGTTGAAACAACAATCTTTAATTAGTAATTTGCATTGCTAAGTACCCTACTGACAAAAGTCTTGTCGTCTATCCCATTTGTAAGAGCAACAAACAACTTGATTTCTAGTTGATCATTTGGAAAAGTGGCAAAATTGTTAAACTGCATTCCAATCATCACAAATACTGCAGAAGACCTACTGGAATCCACATGGACCTAAGATTCTCACACAAATCAGTCAATTTTGGTAAAGAAAAAATAAAGGTTTGGGCTTACATTCAGTATGGGTGTGTGCGAGAGATCAGTAGAGTGGATGGCAACATCGGCAGCCTGAGGTATCAAGACATTTGTGCTGCCCATTACATTACAAACCACAGGAGAGGGCAAATTCTTCAGCAGGATAGCGCTCCTTCTCAAACTTCAGCTGTCACATCAAAGTTCTTGAAAGCAAATAAGGTCAAGGTGCTCCTGGATTGGCCAGCCCAGTTCCCAGATATGAACATTATTGAGCATGTCTGGGGTAAGATGAAGGAGACGCCATTAAAGATGAATCCTCTGGGAGTCCTGCAAAAATGCTTTCTTTGCCATTCCAGATGACTTTATTAGTAAATTATCTGAGTCACTGCAGAGATTTTTCTCTAAGCAAAGTCAGACCTTACTGTCCTAATTAAATAATTAAAAATCAAGATGATCATATTTTATTTTGGTAAAATAAACGTAATCTAGAGGCCTTTGCCTTTCATATAAGCCACTTCTGATACCAAATGATCAACTAGATATCAAGTTATTAATAGCTGTTCATAAAACTTGGATAGGCAACAGTACTTTTATCAGGTAGTATACTAATTTGCACAACCTTAGCAGAGATTGTATCAAAACTTAATTTTTTTTGGAACCCTCAGATTCCAGATTTTGCAATATATTAACCACACATGATCACTGTCCTATCAAACCATACATCAATTGAAAGCTTAATTATATCCAAATGTCCAAAAATTGATGTGTGGTCCCTGTTGATCCTTATATTTTTATGGTACATGGTCACATATAGTGTTCAAAATAATGTCATAATTAAAAGAAAGTTGGTTACATCAATGTGTTGAGAAAAATATTTATGCTGAAAATATTTACATATTAATCTCAACATCACCATCACCAGTGTGAATGGTGTCTTGATTACTAGGATATTCCTGCTAAGACATTTACAACTTCTTTTAACAAAAGAAGCTTCTGTGTGAAAATATTGGGGACTTCAATCTTGCTTAGCTTCAGGATGTTACATATATATTAGTGCTCAAAAAAGCAATACGTTGCAAGCTGCAGTTCACTAAGCAGTCTATGGGTGTCGCTAATAACTGTTTCGGATTCCTACATGCCACCCCCAACAACAATACATCTATTACAGAAATTCTGCACGAGTAAAACGTTTGTAACAGGGTTCATTTGAAACAAACAAATCTCGCAGGTTTTGATAAAAGGATATTGAACCTGCAGCAAGATAGAGTGCTGCATCTGCACCATCCACCATTCCCGCACCACCTGCCCTCATGCCCACTTCCCTTGCTCTATCTGATGGAGAGGGGTCGAGCTGGCCCAGCAGCGGGAGGGGTGGGAACGCAGAGTTGTGGGAACGGAAGTCCATGAAAGATTCAGACAGGCAGTCCTTATGAAGAGGCAGACTGGAGAGGGAGCGGGCAAAGAGATTCTGCATGGTGTAGTGAAGAAGGGGCAGGTGGACAGGGTTGTCTGGGGGATAAGAGGGCAGGAAATGCTCCTTGCCCCTGGGGGGTAAAAGTGCCGGGAGAGGCGGCTGGGCTAGCGGAGCGAGGCTAGGATTGGCTTGAGGGAGGAGGAGGTCCTTGTGCCCACTTTGAGCGACAGGGGCCCTCTTGTCTTGAGGACTCTTTGTGACGAGTGGCAAAGCTTCTACCTGCTCAACAGCTTGAGGTCTCGGCCTCCTGTCTGAGTTTAGATCCATCGTCATGCTGGGTTCCTGGGCGGATGAGACTGCCTCGGGGTCACTTTCAGCATAGAGACGAACAACTCTGTCAATAACCTGAGCGACAACATTGGCAAGCTCCTGCTTCAGCGCTTGAGCAAACTTCTGCCCTCCCTCTGCGCTCTCCCACTCGCCCCTGATCAAACTGCATCCCAGCCACACTTGACTGCCGTTTAACTCCAGGTCCAGGTCCACGGAGGTCTCTGGAAAAATTCCAGCATTGCCATTTCCATTGGTTTCATTGTTTTTCTTAGACGAACAACGTTGAGGAGAAAATCCATTGCCTACAAGTGGATCGTCGCTGTCAGAAAACATATCAGCAACCTCATCCAGATTGATTCCTCCGTTTTCTTGATCCTTCTCATCGTCCGCCTGCCCTCCGTACACCCTCCACACCTTGCGCTGAAGTTCAAGAAGTTTCCCTCTGGTTTCCTCCAGCTGAAGCTTTAGTTCTTGCCGCTGCCGCTTCCTTCCTTCCCTGCTTTCCCTCCTGTTACCTTGCTCCATTCCTTTCTTCTCATCCATCCTAAATGAAGATCTACTCTTTCTCCCTCTCTTCCCTTCTCTAATTGATTCATCTTCGCTTCTAGCTGCAGAGTCCATTCTTAGTCTCTTGACTCTTGCAAAATCCTGCCCCCAGTCAGAGGGCTCAGGAGCTTGTCCCCGTTCTCCAGAACCACGCTGTGATGATGAGGTCGCCCCAAACTCCCTCTTCCCAAAGACATCCTCCTCACTTACATCATCATCCACCAGAAGCCCAGGGAACAAGCCCTGACGCTGTCGGAAACTGCCCCACTTTTGGGACATGCTATTGGGGTGCATGAGAGGGGAGAAGAGCGGATGAGAAGACAAGCTGCCAGGGGGAAATCGGTGGCCTGAGGGGTTGGAATCTGGCAGGCTGCGATACAGCTCGAAGGGACACATCTGGGAAGGCTGCTGATGAAATCGATCCGAAGGGGAATCCATAGCCTCCATTTCTGTTCTGATCTGCTTTCAGGATCTTTAAAGAGAGCACAGTTTGCTGAAAATAAATGCATAATCGAAAACAAAATATGCAGCTATTTGGATTGGTTTTGAAAATTTTTCATAATCCTCTCATTGTTATCGGCATCATCATCATCGCCTCTTTTTTTCCCCTCTCTGCATGTGTGCGTTATCTATCCACTGACAGCTGTACCCTGTGTTTGTTCAGACTGTTGACTCTATTGCTCTCATCCTTCTTTCTCTCTCTCTCTCTCTCTCTCTCTCTCTCCCTACCTCTCCCACACACACTCAACGCAACACAAATACATAAATGGTGAGACAGTAAATATTTTAATAAGATTACTATAGTATAGTCCCATTTTTAATTAATTCAGACTGTATAGATAGATAGATAGATAGATAGATAGATAGATAGATGATAGATAGATAGATAGATAGATAGATAGATAGATAGATAGATAGATAGATAGATAGATAGATAGATAGATAAACTAGTTTATCCTACAGACTTTTTTTTCCAAATCAGATTAATAGAAATGACTGTTTTTTCCAAATCAGATTAATAGAAATGACTGTTTTTTCCAAATCAGATTAATAGAAATGACTGGACTGAGCTGACATTTTCGCCCTTTCCTCATTGGCACAAATGCCACAGATGTCATCAGATTACTGCGCGACTATAAATCCGTTTAACTGGCATGAGAAAAAAAAACGTAACAGATGGAAGGACAACACCCTCGCAGACAAATTACAGTAATTGATTTGCGTTAATTACTGACACACTAACCAACTCGCCGTAAAGTATATGGCAGAGTTCACGTCAAAGTTTTCTTCGCGTTATGAGGACGGGTTTCGCCCCAGCTCGAATGCCGGCGCATATTAGTGAACTCCGCGCGCGCGCGTGTCGCAGATTCATTAGCAGATAAACAGAAGAGACTCGTTTGACAAGGACAAACAAATACGCAGTCGTCCTAATGAACAAAAAGATGTCAATAAAACTTACAAAACAGTCAGACAGCACGCATCCCCCGCTTGGTCACTTTCCTGTGGTGTTATATGGCGGTGTTTTTGAGGTGTCCGCTGGTCACCGGGAGCATCAGCGTTGAAAGCGCCACTGAGTTTCCTGTTATTGCTGTGTCTCCTGTGTCGCGCTGCTGTCCATCTCTCATCCTCGCGCACTCTATCGCGTGGTGATCAGCCAGTGGGCGTCGAGGCGCGAGGGAGGGATGTCCGCTGCCCCCGTGCGCGCGCACACACAGTTTTACTATCTCTCTTTCACGCTCTCTCTCTCTCTCTCTCTCTCTCTCTCTCTCTCTCTCTCTCACACACACACACACACTCTCTTTCTCCACGTGGGGCAACTACTTGGTTATGATCCTCCACCAATCAAAAACGACCTGATTTACTAGAATAAAATTATTGACGTGTAAAATGTACATTGTTATTACAACAGTAATTACAACAGTTAATGTAAATAGTATATACGGGACATTCTACCAGAAACGTACATTATCTATACCTGAAATAAAAACAAATACAGTGAATAAAAAGTATTTCATCCAAAAATGTCTAAAATGGACGGACAGTTCTGTGAGTTGTTCTGTAAAGGTAAATGTCGTTCATTTGGTTCTCTTGTTGATTTCCTTTATTAAAAACACTTTATAAATGTACAAACCCTGACATTGTCTTTGTCCTCAGCCCAATTGAACCCACAAAGCAAAATATCTCTGGCCCAGCGCTGGCCCACATAATAAGCTTTTGCTTGGCCCACATGCCTGAATCAAGTCTAGCTTCCAGATATAAGACAAAATGTACCATGTCTTGGCCAAGTCTCAGACAAGTTAATAACCCATAACTGAGTCTGAACTGGGCCAGATATTTTGGTGTCAGGACTGCAGTGAAATTTAAAAACCTATGAATCAATGCACTTTAAGCATGCTATGGGCATACTTTTTCTCGAAGCGACCTGATTGGTAGAATTTCTTTTCTTTATTTGAAAAAAAAAAAGTATTTTAAATGTGGGTCAAGATAGGTTAAACTTACATGGACCACATATTATATATGTATATATATTTCTACATCTGGGATAATTAATAAATTTTACATCTGCCCCAAGTATTCTGTGGCTCCCTAAAGACGATACCACCTCTGCCAAACCAGTTTGGCCCACATGCTGAATGCCAGTGCCGGATGAGTGCCTGTTGTGCCAGATTTATGCCAAATCTTGGCCAGAATTCGTTGCTACCTGGGAATCTACAGCTTTAACAATTTTGTTTTGCTAAAAAAAAAACTGTTATTTAGAGGAAAAAAAAACCTTCAGAAATAGCAAGTTATCATTCATATCAAGTGACAAAAAACATAAAATTATGAATACATTAAATACTACAAATATATAATCCAAATAAATGTACAAACATATCCCCATGTTTCTGTCAGTCCTGTAAATAATTTGCATTAAATTTAACATGAAATGAGTGTAATACTTAAGGCTCTGACTTGAAAGTGACATCATTTGACAAAGAAGCTGACAGTGATCAAGGATGCATTCTATCATTGAATCGTATGATGGAGGACGACAAGCTAAAGGACAAGCCCTGTCACATTTTTTATAAGTGAAAACTTGAGAGAATGTCCCATTTATAAGCTGTTACTTAATTAGTTATTTAATATAATCATATTCAACTAGCCCTGATGCGGAAAGCTTACAATGTTCCAAATGATCTTTTGGAATTGTTGAAATTTATTATGGATACTGAAGGACTACAGCAGGGGTGGGCAACCCTGTTCCTGGAGAGCCACCTTCCTGCAGATTTCAGTTGCTACCCCTATCAAACACACCTGAACCAATTAATTAGGACCTGAACACCTCGTGATAATTACAGGCAGGTGTGTTTGATATGGGTTGCAAATGAAATCTGCAGGAAGGTGGCTCTCCAGCAACAGGGTTGCCCACCCCTGGACTACAGACACTGGATTTATATTTCCCCTGCATTTTCTCCCTTTTTAATGACAGAGTCTCCAACGTAAAGATGTCAGGGAGGAACAACATGAGGTTTTCACAGTGTTTCCAAAGAGAAGAGCCTTTTCCCCTGTAAATTGTACATAATTTAAAGAACAATCTCCAATTTAAAGATCCTTTTGATTAGAGTCTTCTTGGGATCATTGATGTCAGTAAAGTCAAAAAATCACAGGAGTAACTAATAATATTGGACGACTGTTTACAATTAAAACATTTTTGTCAGAAAATCCCAAATCTGGAGGTGGAATTTGAAGAGGATGAACGGGAAGCAGTGGTCTCTGGTATAGGGGGGTCCTGTGAAAGATGCTAGAAGTAAACTTATACATTACATTCATTCATTTTCTTTTCGGCTTAGTTCCTTCATAAATCAGCAGTCGCCACAGCGGAATTAACCACCAACTTATTCAGCATATGTTTTACGCAGCGCATGCCAGCTGCAACCATCACTAGGAAACACCCATACATTTTCATTCACACATATAAACTACGCACAATTTAGTTTACCCAATTCACCTGTATTGCATGTTTTTGGACTGTGTGGGAAACCGGAGCACCCGGAGAAAACCCACGCAAACACAGGAAGAACATGCAAACCCCACACAGAAATGTCAACTGACTCAGCCGAGGCTCGAACCAGCGACCTTCTTGCTGTGAGGCGATAGTGCTACCCACTGTGCCACTGTGAGGCCCAGCTTTAATATAACTTCACTTTCAAGAGTTCACACTTAGATATTGTTTGAAAACTGTTAGCAAGTTAGCTGGTTTGGCATGCTGTCCCGGGAGAGAACCCTGAGCTCAAAGATAGTTGAGCTTGGGGCTCCCGCCTGGTCCATAGAGCATGTGAGGGGAGTACGAGATCAGTTGGTCCTCGAGAACTCCCCCTGGTAATAGAGGAAAGGAGAAGAAGGGGTGGGTGGGGGGAAAAACGAAAATAAGGGAGTAGTTCTTACTAGGCTACCTTGAGGTTTTTGTGAAACTTCACTTAAACAAAAGTTCCACATTGTAACTTTTGACCCCATAGGCATGGACGAAAGTTACATACGGTTGGGTCAAACGTAACAATATTTGTTAGATTTACTGGCTGAATCTTCATTCATTAATTTTCTTTTCAGCTTAGTCCCCCCATCAATTCGGGGTCGCCACAGCGGAACGAACTGCCAACTTATCCAGCACGTTTTCACGCAGCAAATGCCTTTCCAGCCCCAACCCATCCCTAGGAAACTTTCACACACATTCATTCACACACATACACTATGGAAGATTTACCCTACCCAATTCACCTGTACCGCATGTATTTGGACTGTGGGGTAAATCAGAGCTTCCGGAGGAACTGACCCAACTGACCCAGCCGAGGCTCAAACCAGCGACCTTCTTGCTGTGAGGCGACAGCAATACCTACTGCGCCACTGCGTCACCTTGGCTGAATCTTGTTTATTTTTTAGTATATCTGACTTTGACCCTGTTAACTGGGGGTTCACCTTTCAATGGATAGGGCAGTAGAGAGTATTGACAAGAAAGCATGGGGAGCAGAGAGAGGGGAAGGATCAGCATAGGACCTTGAGCTTAGGTCACCATGAGCACCAGAGTGCTTGTGTCGATAGACTAACCACTACACCATTGATGCCAACATTTTTTCTTTTATTTTAGCAAAAAATAAATAAAATTAAATTAAACAGCATTTAAATCTAAAATTTCACCTCTATTAAATGTTTCAAAAGCAATCAACAATACAAAATGTTAACATTTTCTATCATTTTCTTAAATATTGTTTTCCTTATTATTGTCAATATGCATTAATCCTATAAAACAGATGAGTCAAAAGACTGAAAACGAATGTGTAAGTGAAAAATAAGGCATGGCTATTAGTAGTGGGACATAAATAACAGTGTTACTTTCGTCCTCACAGGAACTCTGGGCCTAAATCTGATTTACTTTTGAACAGAAAAACTCAGACATTTCTTACTTCAGGATGTGTTAATGCACTGAATAACCTGTAGACTGATCTTCAATGTGACACACAAAAAGAGAAACACAGTTTGTAATAAGGAAAAACCCACCATCATAATTTACTTTTTGCACTTAAAATCAGAAATTTGGAGCTAACTGCGGGACACTGTCCTGAAATCAGCTCATATTTGACAGCTTCATCAAGTGTTGCATGCTAAATGTGCTGTTATAGCCTTCAAATCAAATGCTGTCAGGGCTTTGAGAAAACTGCTTTGTTATTTACGTTCCCACTCTCCCCTGCACAATATTTCAGAACTCATTTATTCATTTTCTTTTCGGCTTAGTCGCTTTATACATCAGGGGTCACCACAGTGGAATGAACCGCCAACTAATCCAGCATATGTTTTACACAGCGGATGCTCTTCACTGTAAAAAATGGCCGTGATTTCAACGGTAAAAAACTGTAAAAATGCTACAGTACAAATCCGTAACCTGGTTTCCTTAATATATACGGGGAATAACCGTAAATTGACTTTCCCAGAATTCCCTACATGGCACATAACTTTTTATGCATTTGGTTGACATTATTATGGATCTTTTTAGTTATTTCCCCATCAGTTATGTACATTAGAGATTTATGTTACATCTAATGTTGATAAACAATGTTTATTTCATGACTTTAATTTTATGCGTGTTACCATACTGGTGTTTAGTAGCTGTGTGAATGACACTGAGCACCTTCTATAAGCTGATACTTTTTTCTGCTTGTGGGAAAAGTTAATTGTGATGAGCATTGGCTCATTTTGTAACTTCCTCATCACCACCTGCATGTGGCTGTGCTAACGCGTCTAACTGTGTAACAAAAATTGTGAAGATATTTATCATTCAAAATACAGAAATATTACCTCTATAAATTAATAAAATACGGTAATTTACCGTAAAAATGAAAATTTATTTTTACGGTTTGTACCGTGTTTTTAACAGTAAAGTACTGGCAACCACAGCTGCTGTTTTTTACCGTAAATTTTACGGATTTATTTTTTACAGTGTTGCAGTTGCAAGCCACTACTGGGAAACACCCATCCACGCTCATTCACACTCATACACTACGGCCAATTTAGCTTACTCAATTCACCTACAGCGTATGTGTTTGGACTGTGGGGGAAACTGGAGCACCTGGAGGAAACCCACGCCAGCATGGGGATAACATGCAAACTCCACATAGAAATGCCAACTGGCCCAGCTAAGACTTGATCCAGTGACCTTGCTGTGAGGTGACAGTGCTAACCACTGAGCCACCGTGTCACCCTA